TTGAGTAATTGCTAACAAAGGAAATACCGTACCAAAATATGTGAATACGAAGATGTGGATTTAGATAACACGAGGATGTCATGAGAAATAATTTGAAGGAATGCAAAATTAATTAAATGAGTCATGACATTAGGAACATTTGTTTACAATAAGAAATTTATTTCATTATTTGTTTGTATGGTTGAAGTTTCGCGAATCGAAATTCGCGACACTATCCAAAATTCTCTGAAGGGACTCTATAAAATTATGGTTGATTGGATTATCACATAGTTTGAATGGTTAATATTGGTAATTAAGTATTAGCTGAAGTCCTGTTTTTTCTTTTTCTTTTTAATTATTCAGCTAAAACCATTCAAATTAGGTGATAGTCCAATCAAAATCAAAGCAATCCATAAATGATACAGGAAAGAGCTATTAGGAGTTTAGCTGTCTGAGAATGTATAACTTATTAGTTTTATTGCAGGGTAAATGCTCATCATGCAATAAAAGCAGCTTACGATTTCTCTCAGTCAATTCCAGGATTCAGTATGTTACATCATCAAGATCGAGTTCAGCTGTTAAGGGTAAGCTATTTCTTTTTTTTAGTATTTCTAGCCGACTTTAAACATGTTTAAGGATGATCGAACTTAATTTTTCACATTTTTACTGCAAGATGACGTGATTGAAGGGAAAGCTTAAAAAGACGCAAGAATTTGTTAAATTAATAAAAAGAGGAAAGCAATAAAGGAAAAATCAAGTGATCTTTCAGGGTACACTATTTCAAACGATTGTACTAGCAATGCTTTCATCGCTCAACTCCGACAAAACTCTCTTAATGCTTCAATCACCAATCGAACAAATTCATCAGTATTTCTATTCACCTTTAAATATTTTTTTGCAAAAATTTAACACTTTAAAATTGACCAATCAACAGGTAGCATTAATCGGCGCTGCAGGTATGTGTGTGTCCGACAAACCCCTCATGCATCATCCGGAATTGGTTGCATTTATTCACAATCGCTTGAGTGATCTATTTCAAGAAACATTTTCGGAAGACTGTCGTGCTGCAGCTCCACAACTCTTGCATACAATTTTATGCGAGTTGAGAATGCAAAATGCAGTACATCAGCAAAGTCTTGAAGCAATAACAATTTGGCCTACTACATGTTGTTCCTCATCATCATCCGTTGCATCTAATTCAGATGATAGCACTATCTCAAATACCATAAGAACAGGTATAAGTGATAATATATCGAGAAACATTGACACCGAATTATTAGTGTTAGGAAATTGTGGCTTTATGCAAGGACAGCAGCAATTAGAACAACCAGTGCAAGAATTAATTTCGCCACTTTCTGTTGAAAATCAACCACATGATGATGTAGAAAAAGGATATGGTAGTGGAAGTTGTAGTCAACAGAGGTCGGAGAATGAGGCAAACGGCTTACAATCACAATCAGCCACTCTGTCTCGAACCCAACCATCCATCGTTGAAACCCATCGCTCCGTTGCCTCATTACTCAATCAACCACCTATTTTACCGATAGCAGCAACTGCAGTACGAAATGCTTTTGTTCAAAACTGTCAACAATCGATACTATTATATCGAGCGGCAACACCAATATTGCGCAACACCTCTTTGCATGAAATGAAAATATCAAATGAGATAGTGGAATCAGTAGATGAAGAGCCACTGGATTTGAGTATAAAACGTTGATTTTAGTTGTAATTTTATTAAAAATTTGTTTCCCGATAAGTATCATCATGTATGTTACTTCTTGTTGAATCACCCCATTTGTGTGGACCGCAGATACATCGAAATTCATGTCGAAATCGTTCTCAAAATGCTATCACTACTATTAAAACAAAAAATTTCAATATCATTAAACAGATGAGTGAGTAATTTCTTCGATTTTTTCTTAAATATCATTCATTTTTTGGGTATTTTTATTACAAAAGTCTTAAATCATCCACACTTCTACTCATCTCAGACGATTTGGCTACTTCAAAAGCTTTTCAATTTGAATTTCTCGTAGTTGCTATCCTTTAAATACTCAGGAAAGCGTTTTTCATACTTTTTTTTAAATTTTTTTTTTTGTAATTGATAGCAGTTCGGGATGCTTTTTAACGATTTAAGTGCGCCTTCTTTTATGTCAATTTTATTTTGTACTTATCATTATGCTAAACAAATTTTTAAGCATGGATTATGTAATACTTAATCTTTTACTATTATTTTACAGTAAATTTATCCACTTACCATTCCATCAATTCTTATTCTATAATATCGTTGTCATTTTCCGTAAACTTTAAAGGTAATCTAAAGAATTGGAAAATTCAAAAACTTTCAAAGCATTGTACTGTTAAAGTCGTTGAACTTGAAACTTTTCCCTTGAAATTATTGCTTTAGTTATAAGCAGAAATTTTCTCATATATTGCATTGCTTTCATATATCTAAATATTATGATTAAATTTGTCCTTGTAATTATTTACGGGTCACCTTTTTCCTATTACAAAGGGAGGTGTTTCGGTTCATTTTTCATTCTTGTCCTCATTTATTAAAATTTCATCTGATTTTTACAGGTATGTAAATTAATATCAGTGCAGAGCTTTTTACTATTTTACATACTTCACTCTATTTGAATACTTTATGCAATCCCTCAACGTATCATTTCATTTTCCCTGTTCTCTTAATTATATTTCTAAGGCACGGGTAATTTATCTGAATATTAATAATACTACGAAATATGCTAGCTGTATACTACAAACTTTTCTTTTTAGAATCCTGAAAAAAATTTTAAAATGTCCGTAATGTTCAGAATTCTTTATCTACAAAATTAACTCAGTGTATTCAATATCCTGTTTGGTACTTTTATTTTTGTATCTCAGACTGATGTTCTCCAAATTTTTTCTATAAATCAAAATTAAATTTCAGTTGTGTGTTTCTGTTTAAGTATTTCATTACGTATGTGAATGTTATTTGTGATGTAAAGTTTTTGAGAATGGGAATTCGGAAATTCCAGCATTTCAAATTATGATATGTTGTAACAGTTGCTACGGGATAATTAGCTGTTTAATTTCGAGAAGTTTTGTTAATACATATTTTTCAAATAAAATTTCCTCTGTTAATTTGTGGAGGAGCTCAAATTTTCCTGGTGTTACTTTCGTTGAGATGAAAATTTTGAATATTGGAATTTGAAATTAGAGCTAAAGAACTTACCGCTCATGAAATGATAAAGTATTAAATTGACGTAACATAACTTATAAAATAACTCATAAACCTCGGAATAAATTTCCGCAAGGCGAGAACAATATCATAGTTATATAACGGTGCGAATGGGCCAACATTAAAAGCACTGAAATATTGGAAAAATCAAGCGTAAGTTTAATTGAGGAAATAAGGAAGTAAATGATGTACCGAAGATTGCTGACAAAATTGAAAAAAAATTTACAAAATATCTTTTCCCGCAATTAATGATGCTTGACACTGCTAGAGACGGACATTCCTTTTCTTCATCTCATATTTCCCAGACATTTAAAGCAATTTTCGAAATACCGCAAAAGTATTATATGAATGAATGTTTTGCAACTTCTCTAAAGTATAAAATGCTTGAAAATATGACGTGTATTGATCTCTCAGACATTTATTGTCTCAGGGAATTGTAGAAATCTTCGAAAATAAGTTTGCATTGCAATGAAAAATCCTGTTTTTCTCAATGTTGATAAAAAATTAAAAATATTTTGTGAAGATGACTGAAAATTGTGCGAATCGTTCTTTACTCCGATGAGGAAATTCACGTTAACAAACTATTAAGTTACTTTAAATAAAATTCTCTTATCTTCGAAGAAATAAATATAACCACTACTTTTTTTATTTTTACTACGCAGATGTGTCTATGGTTAGCTAATGCTAACTAACTGCAGTTTCTTTTTTTTCTTTAATCCTTTTTTTGTAAAGTGATAGAGTATCTAGTATTTCAAATCATTTTAATGAGATTTTTTGCCATTAATAAGCTCGAATAAGTGAATTGACTAAATCAATTTGAGATGATAGCAACACAAACATCTTCCTGACATGCAGAAATGTTAATTGAAGCAGCGCCTTAATCATCTGATTAATTCTTATAATTGCTGATAGACGATAGTACGAGGGTTCTCGTGGCTCGATCATATCAAAACTTATCAAATGTAATTCATACACTGCGCCTATTTCATTCATTTATATCTTCTAATGTCATTAAAAAAATTAAAAAAGAAAAAAATAATGGAATGTTATTGAATGGAATAGTATTTGCAGATGTGATAACAAAGATGTAAATTAATTGGTGAAAGAGTTCTTTAGCTCGCTCAACTCTTCCTTAGGAAAAACTAAATTGATATGAATGTTGTAACATTCAATATTACTGCACGGATTGGCTAGTTTTTTTTTTTTAAATTTCAATTTAAAGTCCTCTTTCCATAAAATTTGGATTGTTTCATTCAAAATCATTACATTTTTTACAAATGAAATTATTGCATTTGAAGTCTAAATTGAATAAAATGAGGTCCTGCCACTATTAGTATGTCATATCGCAAGAATTACTAGAGAGGCTATTTTTTTGGAAGCATGAAAAATATGATTTTCTATACAAATTTATTGTTTATTTCAGTATTTATCTAAAAGAAATAACAAATATTAATCTTTGCTATGTTGCAGAAAATTGAAGAATTTTATCATAAGTATTACTTTTGAAAACGAACACATTAATAGTCATTACTCTCCTTGTAAGGTAATTAGTGTTCGATTTCTAATTGTATTTACTATAGAAATTATCAGTTAATAAAACTTAGGTAAAATTCAATAACTTATCTCGTTTCTAATGATCTAATTGTTGCTTCTTTATTAGCTTTATTTATTGTTTTTTTGTTTTACAAGAAATTGATGAAAGCTCAAAAAAATGTTAATGTAAAAAGAATTTTGAATGATTGTATTACAAACAAACAAAAAAATGCTATAAGGAAGAATTTCTAGCAGAGGGAGAAAATAAAATGAAATGAAGGGAGGAATATAAAAGAGAAAAAAGCCGTGATAAAAATGTAATGAGAAAAAAAGGATAATGGAAAGCTTAAAAAGATTAATTATTTAATTATTCAAATTATTCGTCAATTACTTAAAAATTAAATTATCCCAGAAACTTATTTTTTCAGAGAAGAGGAATAAATTGTCCCTTAATAGATGATATTTACCTGTTACTCTCTGAAATATTTAATCGTCTATTTCTTTTGATCATCCGATGTTACAGTAAAGAACTATCAATATGAATTGATCCTAATATTCTCATAAAATTTCTTTGGTGTAAACTTTTCTTCTGTAATGACGTAGAAATTTGTATAGAAAATTGAATCTTATTGGAGTGGCTAAAAATGAATCTTTGCCGTATATAATGTAAATGTTAAATTAACCATATTAGCTTGAAGAGTTAAAATAGCACGAGAGGAAAACAGCTATGAAATATTTAGGCTATCTGATATTAGTTAGAAATAGTAGATGGACAGGAAAAAAAGGATAGGAAAATAGTATAAAAAGAAGCTGTAACGAATAAATGATTTCTGAATTATATCCTTCCTTCAGCGGCGCTAATAATAAGTTAAGTGGTCAGCAGTAAGTACACTGTGACGAAACTCACTTCTATACTGTAAGAAATAGACCAAACTGATAATTCTACCAAATATCAAAAATTGTAAGATCAATCAAATGGAGTTAAATTTCTCGCACCATTTAATATTGCATTTATCAATAACAATAAATCCTTTTTTGATAGATTCTTAACAATAAAAAAAAATACAGCTATTCTTCGTCATTGTTCAACAATTGTTGCAAAATATAGCAAGTCAAACCGTAGTGGAAATTAAAAAATTTTCGAACGAATATCATTATAAAATGATGATTGAATTTAAAAACATGTTTATAGAATCTATACGGTATTTAACAAATTATAAAATGAAAGTGAAAATGGGATAGAAGGCCATTGCCAAAAGCATTAAATAAGCCTCAGGAGGCATTTTGTGTGTTGGAAGATGAAAGTATAATCTAATCAATAATAATGAGCCAGTAATGGTTAAACGTGAAGTTTGATTTCTATTTCTTTTCTGAGGCCTATTTTTATGAAAGCCATAATGTTAGCAATTTCATTCCATAGTTCTGATGATATAACAGGTTCATGCCTTTAAATGATTTTTTATTGATATAATAAAATGATGAAATTTTACTTCAAGTAAAATGAGAAACATGTAGAATTAATATTCCGCTCTGACAAATAAATTATTTCGTTATAAATAATACACTTAGCTGCCTTTATTCAGCAATTGTGAATCATTTTAGCAATGTTTAATTATACCTTAATTGCTGGCTATTGATTTGAATATTTTGGTGCAAAATGATTTGACTATTTCTTTTTCAGGAAGGGAAAAGTAGGTTTTAGGGAGTCAATAAGACTTGGCCTATATTTTAGCTAGCCAAGAGAGCAGAGGAACAGGAAGATGATTTTAGGGAAAGAAATTGAACAGGATGAGAATGAATGAATGCTTCTAAAAATAGCACATGTTAACACAATATGCTTTTAAAGATTCGCAAAAAAAAAGATTACATCAAAATTCGATGTAAATTGCTATTTTGTGAATCTTTAAAAGCGAAAAATAGAAGTGAAAAACAACTAATATTTCATGAAATGAAAAAGAAAAAAGAGAAAAAATGGTGAAATAAGACAATTATAATTTTAAAGAATAAATCTAAAAAAAATGCAAATCTAAGGTGATTGAAAATAACTGATATGTTGGGACAACGGAAAAATAAGTACCTGTAAAATAAAAATGCACAGATTGATATAGAATATAACTAAATTTTATATGTTTATTAATATATTTGCTTGCAAATCTTCACATTACAAAAATGACTTCACTATGATCGAAACATTATTTTCCATACAGATGGAATTCATCAAGCGGTATATTCATATGTGTTTTAATCAGATCAATATGAATTTCTTTATGTGATTTATTAAAAATATTAGCGTGAACAAGGGTTATAATGTTTAAATATGCCACCACCGAAAAATGCAGCAACGGTGGATATAAATGGAAGATTAAATTAGGTGCATACATTACAACTCCATTGTTGCATATGTTTGTCTTGAAGATATTTTTAATTAACATTGTTGTAGATCGTAATATCGATATCGATTCTAATTAACGAAGATATCAATAATTAATCATAATATTTATATCATAATACCAAAGATATTGTTGCAAAATTTCATAGCTACAGTATTTAAATAAATTCAAATTCATTGTATTTCTCATTTTATCCGTAAAAAAGTGCAAATATATAAGACGAATATCATATGATAAATTGCTTGATAATGCATGTGACATTGATGATCGATTCAGAATTTTCGTACCTTTAACATGCATATGCTATCACTGCATAAGTTATTAAAGTACTTTAGCATATAACTTACAGTATACCCGAGAAGGAAATTTCAGTAGCAGAGAAGTTTGTGAGCGAAATGCTTAGAAATTGCTTACGTCCGTCTATTAAATAAACCAATTGGAATAGAATCGATATATTTTAACATTAATTCAAGATGTGATAGTACAGAGAATGTTTGTATATTCATTCCTTGAAAAGTGATGTGTGACTGTACGTTTCTCGGAATAGCATAAACATACTTATCCAAATAGTATGACAAATTCATGAATGGCTATGAAATGCATAAACATTTAAGACCAACAATGTTATTCATCGCCAGTTGATATAGAATATTCAATTGTTTTTCAATGTTTTTTACACATTAGTTCATTGGTTCATTGAGTTTGATGATAGCTTGGCAAATCCCAGATGTGCTCAGACTAAATTTCCTCATTTAAAAATCCATCAATACTTACACTTCAGTACCATCTCTATTAATTAAAAGATTACAGAATATATCAATCACCTACTAAACATAGCAAATTTTTTTGATAATGATGGGAGATATGCCGCAATATATAATTACGAAAATTCTAGAAACTTTTTGCATAGAAGAATGAAATAATTTTGTCTATCTTTAGCTTTCCATATGCTCCCGATTTTAAAGATTTTCTATCAACCCCTAGGGCAGAATAATTTGATTTTGAAATAACTTTCGATTTACTAAGCATTTCTTATGCTTTGAGAGCATTACCTATTTAAATGTTAAAGAATTATCTTTTTATTACAGCCTATTTCTTTAGCAATAAAATAATCTGGCATTATGAAAATCAACATGAAAAAACCTCATCATCAACATGTATTCTGCCATTGTAAGCTTTTTGTCCCCACTTTTATTTTTCAATCTTTATTAAATACTTGAATAATAGAAGAAAAAGAATGCTTCGTAATTTCACAAATGTTTTGAATTGATAAAATTGTAAGACGATAACATACTACCTTTATATTGATCTAAAAGCATTAATGCACATCTATTATCACTTCAGCACCATTATTCCATGCTTTACTTCGTCACTAACACAATATAAATATCTTCACCATCTTGAAAACTACCTTTTACAATCAACAAACTTGAAAACTACCTTTCACTTGTCAACAAAGGGGTATTAAGGAATAGTAAAGCGGAATTAGACTAGATTTTCTGTTTATATACAGATATCTTGGACAGCAGTATTACAATAATTTTTTGCTAAATAAAATAATAAATAGCAATGATGAAATTCATGTTCTTATTGTTGTGGGAATATGAATTTCGATCATTACTATTTATTTCTATAGCTCTTGTGTCTATTGTGCTACCACACTGTTTACACTATCATACTGTTCACGTAAATGCACTAGAAGCTCTTCAATACCATTACCGAATTTGGCCGAAATAAAGAATATCGAATAGCTAGGAAATTGTTGCCGAACAGCATCCTTGTCAAACTGCAAAAATATAATTTTCACTATAAACTCACTGAGCTCAGCTAAGATCGTGGAGATTTCTAAAATTAATATGAAATATGCAAAGACAATTAAAAGTGAAACCGTACGATATGTAAAGTGCCCAAGGAAACTTTTTATTCACTAGGATTCTAAACATTGAAAAATAAGAATATTAACAAAAGCATACATTCGCTGGCGCCAAATCCATTTTATTTATGATAATAGTACTAGGTCGATTACTCAAATTCTGCTGGTATTGGTCTACTTCAAATTTTAACGAATCAAACTGTTCCTGAAAATCAAAGTGTCAAATACATCTTTTATTTGAATTATACATCAACGGAAAAAATATAGTAAAACAAAATAAACTCTTTACGTCCTATAATAAAAATAACGAACCCGTAATTGTGATAGCGTTAAATCCAAAACATAAAACAAGCAGTGGCATCGCGTAATATGCCTTAGAAAACTATGTCCAAGTCCAACATCTGCATGTGATCCTTCCACAAGACCAGGAATATCCGCTACTAAAAAAACTTCCAACTCCATTGTGTTGGTTTTCAAATCGAAATGAAAACTTTAGATTTGGAAAAATGCTCAAACACACCAGCAATTTGTATAAAATCATCGTAATGCACAACACCGATGTAGGCTGTCAAAGTAGTAAATGGATAACAAGCTACTTTCGGCTTAGCTCTAGAGATCGCACGCAAAAGCGAACTGAAAATTTGAATATGGAAAATATTTTCAATATAAATCAAATACTTGACAATCTTTTCTTTCCTAGCTTGTGTAAAAAAAAAATGCTAAATATCGGAAATTTTTGAAAAACCAACGATTTTCCAGCGTTAGGATATCCTATCAATCCAGCAGTAGCGATTCTACGCATTTCTACGTCATATGTTAACTGGAATGATAACTTTAGAGATGATCAAATAGTTAAACATCTTAAATGACTTTTTTGCTAATTCATGTATATAGATTTCCAAAAACAAATTTGCAGTAGGTAAAAATATAAAATTTAAAACAACTAAAAATAATATAAACAAACTAACTTCTTCACCTATTCCACCTAGTTCAGCTTTCAATGGGACTCGCATTTCATTTGTTTTATAGAACTGATTACCGTGGCCACCAGCACCTCCCCTAGCAGCAAGGAAAATCGCTCCCTGTCTGTTTAAATCAATTATTACCTGAAAAGTAGTTTAAATTAATAAAGACTGGAAAATGTAGAAGGACAAAAAAGTCAGAAGTTACCTTGTCAGTACCCGGTTCCTTGAATACGGTTCCTACAGGCACTTTAATTATTTTGTGTGGAGCACTTTTCCCATGGCAACTTTTCGAATGACCACCTTCACCATTCATCGCTTTTACGATAGTTGGTAAACGAGAAAGATCTTTAACAAGTGGGTCCCCTAAAAATTTTCAGAGCATCAATTATTTGCACATATGTAATAAAGTTTCATTGATTTTTAACATGAAGCTATGAAATCAAACAACCTTCGAAAATAACATGACCACCATTTCCTCCATCACCTCCATCTGGACCGCCGAACATAACGCCTGCTTCACGTCGAAATGAAACCATTCCATTACCACCACTACCTGCTTTACAACTTACTCTTCTTTGATCAACAAATGATTTTGCCTTTAAAAAAATACATATGTAAGGGTGAAAAAATGTGCTATTTAAGTAAAAAGAATAATCATCAACAACGCTAGAGATATTTGAAATGTAAATTACCTCGCCTCCTCGATTAGGCCTCTCTGGAATGATTGGCCGTTTGGTCAATTTCCTTGACGATGAAGACGAGGCACGAGCGGTAAGAAACCATGTCCTAGCGCCGAATTTCAACAGCATCAAACATCCCTTTAAACCTTACAAATTGTACACGATCCTATCAATTCAAGCCATACTTAAACTGAAATCTAGAACATTTTACTAGTGCATCAAAGACACGTCCTTTATCTAAAAATAATCAAAGCCCAATAGCTAATAAAGACTTGAAGTGTCTTTCTTACTCTTCACTCTTTCCTCTACCACAAATTTTCACATCATTATATCCTGGTACCCTTCTCACTATCAAAACCACGAAGATTTATTCAATTCTTCGATTAGAAAACAATTCCATGCTCCCTGACTGCCAAAGATGTCAAGAATGATATGCTCTTCTCCTTTCATGGCCTTCAGAAATCTCTCATCTTTTCATTGCATGATATAATAAAAAGGACGACAAACGTGGAAAGGACCACGTATATTTCCGTTACAATTACATTAAAGTTTAAATTAATAGAAGCTAAAGAAGCTAACAAACAGTGTAATGTAAAAATAAAAGACAACACCGTTAAAAAAATTGAGTAAAAACTTTAAGAACATGTACACTATAGAAGGTGTTCAAGAAAAGAATTCCATTAAAGCTGTATGACCTCTGTGCACCAATTTATGAAAAACTCTCAACGGAACATAAAATTCTGATATTTTTATACGCAGAAGTAATTTCGTCAAAATTGTTTACAACTTCAGGTCTTGTTAGCACATCATTATATCTCTTCTCCAACCTACAAAGAATCGCTTGCGTTGTATTTAAATTAAAACTGCTGTTTTGCACAGATTACCAAATAGCCCTCCGTTTTTCAATATACTCATTTCAGCATTATGTCGCATCTTTTTCTGAAAACCTTGAAATAAACAAACATAAAACCGCGAACAAAAAATTTAATCACCAGACTATCAAATGAAATTAAGAGTAACATATTTTTACAAAAAGTTCTCCAAAACTGGAAGATTTTAAAAATAAGCGAATCGTAAAATATCACACATTAAATGTTATACTACAATAAAACCTGCTCATACAATTTACAATTTACACTTACCTTATATAATTTATACTAAGTTGCTCCTCAACACTAAGACAGCATTTCAACGCGAATTTGTCAGGTTCTATCAACCTGAATCAAAACTCACCGAACTAGGTTTAAATCTAAATTTATATAACTCGTTATCTTAAAAACCATCTTAAAGTTAAATTTGCTGATAGAGGTTCAAGATCTATGCTACAATTGAACAAATTACAGTATACTACTGTACTGCAATACTGATTCGACGGTCTCTGAATTTTGAAAAAGCACTAATTTCAGAGGCTGTTGCAGAACGATCATGAATAATAACGATATTTTAAGCTGCTAAACGTTTTTCCAACTCTTCTTCAATTCGATTTCGCAACAAACGGCACTGACCATCAGTAAGTTCCAGTTGCCTTGTTAAAGCCTTGGCAACACGTGCACTGTTATCATTCTGCAAGAATGATAACTTCTGTGACAACAATAGCTAGAACTTGCATTATGATAAATGAAGAAAGCAGAACACCTTAACTGTTAACTATATAAGAACGTATAAGTTACAAATGATCTAAAATGAAACAAGTTTCAAGCAAACAAAAAAAAAATACCGCGCGTACAATTTGCTCTACCGGATTACCGTCCTGACCGCGAATATTGAGCTTAAAAAGCGGTACATTCCGCAAAGAATCTGGACGTCTTCTTGTGTCTGCATTTCGTTTTATTAAAGTCGAACTGTGAACGACCGTTTCTGCAGTCATTTGTAATCTCTCATGTCCTTCTTTTGCCATTTGTTCTATTAGACGTCGTCTAATTTCTTTACGCAATTCTTCTTTCTCATCCTTTATATCAGAATTCTGTAACTTCTGTGTATCATTAAATTCCATATCTTGAAGGTAAGAATGTCTTAATGATATAATTTTGTCGATGAAGAAAAAGAAAAGTAAATGAAGGTAGATAAAGATATGCCTACAGAATATAGTAACATAACATTTCCTTACTTCTTCCTTCTTCGTAGTTTTCTCATTAATATTACGTAGATGAGGAGGTATATATAAGAGTAGTGGATCACATGTTTTCCTAGGCTTCTCTGTAAGTAAAAAAATGAACAAATGAAGAGATAAATAAAAAAATAAAAATATTTCTGGACATATGAAGACATAATTTTATTACAGTTATGATTAATAATACGAAATAATACATTCTGAAAATGACAACGTGAAGACCTTGTAAGTTAAAAATTTTTAGAATGTTAATCACCTAATGATGCCGCATATATTTCATGCCAGTCTTCTATTTTTTCCTCCCCCTTTTTTCATATAGTAAGCTCTCGAAAAACTAGAAAGTAAAGCTTTTTAAAGTTAAAAATCAGCAAGGAATTACAAAAAAAAAGAAAATTAAAAATCACCTAAATGGCGAAACGACGATGTGACACTTCTTTCTGATACCAGCTTCTCGTATTCATCCCTAAATAAGGTATTTTAGCTAGGCATACAATTATGAAAAAGAAATTAAACTATCTGTAATAAATACATGGGCAAATAAAAATATAAATATTTAAAATATATGTAACAATAACATCGACAAAATTCGAGATCCTCAAGAAGACCTTCTTGGAATTCATTTAACACTAATTCTGAAATGAATTTCTTTAACTGCTTGGTACAGTTCATCAATTTAACTTCTGGTTAACGCCTTGCAAACTTCATCATGACGAGTTACCATAACGAGTGTACGACGCGCTGCTTCTCAAAAATTCTACCAATTAACATTATCTGCAAAAAGTAGATAAATATTAATAAACTGTACGTATTAAGAAATAAAACATACCTATCAATTTGATTTCTCACAATACTTTTGATAAATCCATGATTCATATTTAGCCGTGGAATATTTGATGCTTCTACTTTGACACTATTTCTTTCATCCAAATTCAACGTCCCAGAAGGAGTGTTCTTCCATTTTGAATTACTATGCCTTTGTAGATTACCCCCAAAACTCATCTGTGATAAACTATAAATTACTATCAATAGCAGATATTTGTATCAACGTGAAAAAGATGAACAAGTAGGTTGCAAACATGAAAAGTTGCAATGGCAAATATTATTATAGTTATCTTGCACCACACAATCTTCATTAAACAGTAATTAACAGTCAACATGAAGAACTAATTTCTTCCTTCTGTTGGTGAGCTCAACCATTTTTAAAATTGTCATTACAAACAGTTCGCATATGCTCCATCAATTGTACACTTCCAAGGAGTCACACCAACGTTGACCTTTTGTTAATCATTATCATCGCATACAAACCACGCTTCCCAATATTTCTAAATTTGTAACTGTACTAACACTCAATCATTAACTCTAACGATTCGCATCAACACGTTTAGAAAGGCGGCCAATACGTAACGCGAAGTGAAAATTCAGAATCCACTGTCTGTATTGGATAAAAAACATGAATATCCCGTTTTTTTGTCTGATATTGCATAACTTTTATTAGCTTATTTACAGGAATAACTTTACTAATTAGTAAGCTAGTTAAAAAGGGCAAATATAAATTGATGAAATCAAAATGTTATTTTTTATGGGATTGTGAAACTATTTAGGAAAAGCATCGATTATCATCCTAAAGATGGTCATGAATTCTGAGAAATATTCATTTGAAAATAATCCTGAGGTTTAGTGCTGGTTTTGAATGTTGTAAATTAAAAACTATTTTATTCTTTCTATCCAATGCAAGAATAAATCAAATCATTGGCCTCAAAAATGCCAAACATTTATGATTTTGATGAGTTCCATGAAACTAAATAAATACATTGAACACCACGAATGAGATTGTAAGCTTAAAAAAATGAAAAATTACCACTGCTTGAGAATTCGCCTTCAAATTATCGTTATATGCAATCTCGTTTCTTTTCCTTTGTAACGGTGATTTATTAGTAATCAACAATCTATATAATGTAAAATATTTCAAAATTATATTTAATGTAACCATATACTTGACCAATATACTGTAAACCTATTAGCTGATAATTCAGCAGAATTTTTTTTAATTGATGATATAATTTTAATATTTTAATGAGAGTATAAGTAGAAGAAATATATGACAAATATATGATAAACAAGAAATGTTAAAGAAAAAAAGGAGTGGTATCTCAGAGCACTTTTTAGGGATAAAATAATAGCTAATGAGAACAAAGAGAATTATCATACAATGCTATAAAATTTTTCATAATTACATTTTTAAGCAAAGTGAACAATAATGGTTATGCCATTATACCATCAATATTCCATATTTTCAATTACCGAATTTCATGTTATATGTCGAAATAAAGTTTGCAATTTCTTCATTGAATTTATAACCTATAAGATGGCAAAGTTGGCCTTTGATTATTTTATCATTCAGTAAGCTCCACCATTCACTTTAAGAATCAGAGTTAAGCTTAAAATCGTCGAGTAACTTTTAACTACAACAAAGCTATCATTTGATCATCTTGCATTCGTATAGTAAATGCAAAATGTTGTTGAAATCAGGAGTGAGGACAAGAAGATTCCATCAGTCTATTAAGTTCTTTTGTTTATCATATTTTCATGTTTTGGAATAGTTTTATACTAGTTTTATACTTTGGAATTAATTTTAAACTTAATTTTTAATTGTTTCAGAGATATTCAATCTCTGAAACAATTAAAAAATTAAGTTTAAAATTAAAATTTTTTAGACTATATAACCTGCAATCCTCCGTCATGACATGTTGTCGCAGAAATGAATTTGATCATTTCCTTCATTAATGCGCTTGCAAACGAAAACTGCTAAGTGTAGTGATAATGCTAATGTTTTATTTGCGAATAATATTCAGTGGCTTGTTTATACTGATACCACAATCCAACGAATATTTAAAAAAAAAGCTCACATTTTTTTGGCAATCACTTCAAATTAATAAGCCAGTTTTAATGTAATAAAGTTAAAAAATTTCTATTGATTTAAGGAAAAGAAGTTACAATTTATCAGATTTATACCATGGAGACACAATTAATGCAATTGAATGGGAGAAATAATGAAAATTGTCTTGGAAAAATTGGAATTTGAGGGATTTCAACTATAACGGTAGATGATAATAAAGAATGCAATAAATTATGAATATACTGACTAATACAATATAATAATGTATACTAAATATATGTATAATTTTATCAATAAAAAATTGAGAAGAGAATTTGAGAGAAAATAGGTTGGATGGAAGAAGTTCTATCACTGAATAAAATATTGATCCTGTAAAGAATTATGGATTCTTTAACATATTAAGATTGAAATATTTTCATGGAAATTCACTTGACTACTAAAAACAAATTTCTCAAATTTTAATCTGAAAACTGAACGAGTAATGAAATCTAAATGAAAACAATGGAAGTTTTCAAAAATTTCGCATCTCTTTCATATCACAGTTAAACTGTTAAATAAGCTAAATGTAAAATTAAAACAAGAAAAGAAAATGAGGAGCTATTTCATCCTAAAAATTTATCGAAACAGAAAAATTCCGAATAAAAAAAACATGAATACAATAAATAAATAGGAATATCAAATGGAAATTATCATTTAGCTATTTAGCATCATTCCAAGTATGGCCATTATGGCGACATAATTTTAAAAAATCTGAAAGACAGAAATTTATTTCGTTTATATCACTTGATGGTCATGTCTTCAGCAATTCGAATTTTCAAAAAAACAAGTTCATCGTAATAGCAGCGGAATTTTGAAGTAAATAAAAAAAAGTTGATCAAATCATCTTATTTGCCCAGCACGTGCTGCTGCACCTATCAGTTTTGAGAGACAACTTTGCCTCTCTTCTCGGATGTATTTGATAAAAGTAAACATCTCGTCATTTTTTGGGAAATTAGTTATCATCAACTTCATCAACTTCTTTTTTTGAAAATAAAATAAAGATTTTAATAATGTATAAATTCTATGTTCTAACTGGCATAAAAGTAGCGGTGACGTCTAAATGAGATAAGAATGAAGGAAAAGATGAAAATTTGGACAGAATTATCTATATTCATAAATTATTTCTTCTTTTGATGCATATTCCAGTCAATGAGCACTTATATAATTCCTGAAAATTTATTATTAAATTAAAATAAAAATCAAACATCATAATGAATAATCATTTTTGAAGTTAATCCATCAATGATACAGTTTTTCTCAATTTTGAATCGCAAATGAAAGAAGATACTAAAAGAGGAGAATTTCACTTCAATTATACACACGTGAATGAAGGAGTATATGCATGTTATTTTAAGTAGTGTTCTTCAAAAATGTAAAACAAACCTTTCTTAAAGAACGGCAATAAAAAAATAAATACATGAAATACAATGTTCTAACAGATGGACTTTAAAAACAGATAAGATGGAAGTTAGATTTTGTAACTGTAAGTTTTTGAATACTGAAATTTAGGAAATTAAAAATAAGAAAGCCAAGAATTACTATTTAAAAAAACTGAAAAGTCAAGGAATAGAGTCAAGAACAAAAAAATGTGAGGAAAACTTTAAAAAAAAGGTAGTTCCTGTTGTTTTGTATATTTATTAAATATTAAGCCTTTAGCAATGCGTAATTTCTTTTTTCCAGAATAATAGAAATAATTTAAAAGAAAATAAAAAGGATTCCAAAACTGATAAATTTCTCGATAACAAGTCATTGCTTCAAATATTAGTCATACTATTAGAAAAACGAAAAAAAAATTGATCAGTGAAGCTCAAAAAGAACAAACATATGAAAATAGAGCGCATCAATTAGGTCTAAAAACTTTGATAAACACTTTTTTCATAAATTATGCACTGCTCATTGGCTGATTCAAATTATTTAAAATGAAACCTTCTTCAATATAGATTTCTACACATTCCATTTCCAATTCAGATACGTGCCTGAAAAGAAGGATTTGAAATAGAAATTTCCATGTAATTATTTTTATAAGATGATCTTCAGTAAAAACTTTTAAACTTTTGTTCTCTCTACTTTTCAGATAATTCGATGAACACAATGAAGAAATAATATTCAAGAATTAAATTAACAATACATTAATAAAATGATTTATTTGTTGAATCTATCTTGAAATATCATGTATAGAAAGTCGATAAGAAATTATCAAATGCTTTAATTAGATAAATAAGTAATTTTGACTACGCTCAGAAAAATTAAAATTAATCTCACAGCAAGCATTTTTTTCTACCTCTTTAATAAAGTGCAAAAATACAAATATTGAGTTTGACTGATTTGAACAGATATGTTCGACTTCACTGTAATATTAATAGACGTCTGGTTGTTGTTAAGAAAAAATATTTTTTATAACTATATAGAAAATTGGAGAAAGTGGTTATTGCACTTAGATTGAACGGGAGATAAAGCATAAGAAAATAACCTGTTGTTTTGATGAACTATGATATGAAGAGGTGAATAATGACAAGTGAAATGAACATATATATATTTTTAAATACTCCTCTCTCAAATGATAGAAGAAAATTATTGCAGTGGGAAAGAATATACGAAGAAGGTGAGGTCGAGGAATTGATGTATTGTGCTTAGCTTTGGTAACCTAGCTTTATGAAGCCAGTAACTTACTCATACAGCTAGATAACCAAAGTAAAGTTGCAATACTTGAGCCCAGATATATTGCTGCAAAACAAATAATAAGGACAAATGAACTTTTGTTTAGTTTTAGCAAATTTTTAAAAACAACGATATTGATTTTCTACATTCAAAATATTAGTAACATTAAAAAAAAAATAAAAATAGACAGAACTAAGGTAGTAGTTATAATTATAAATTGTTTACAGAATAAAACCAAATTGTCACATCAATAATTATCTCTTTCATGAAGAGACCGTTTTAATAATAGGGATTTGAAATGATATGAGACCGATTATCTTAACTATGCCATCTTGTAATCACTGCAGAGAAAATGGGCATCTGATATAAAAGAATAAATTTAAATGAAACGATGGAAATTAGTAATGTATAAAACAAATAGAAAGAAACATCGCTTAACAATATTTCATTGCTGATATTATCAAGTAACAATGAAAATGAAAATAACAGATAGAAATAATTGGTAAGGCAAATGTCCGTCTTCTGTATTTGTCAGGTAGAGGTGTACAGAAAGAGAAGCATGTATGCACCTACCACTGACTACAAACTGAAGAAGATACACGGACACAGGGTTACCGGAACCAATACAGGAGTAGGAGCAACACCATGTATACATCAAACACCCTTTCCACTTCTTCCACATCGTGATATATTCAAAAAGCAATTAACCAATTGAAGGTCGTCATCAGCCACGCCCTATCATACTATGTTCTTGAGGTGATGCTGGCAATGATCAATTGTTGATTAAAGATGGCACAGAACAGGTAGATAGACAGACTAACCAACAGATGGATGAACAAAACTCGACAAATGGACAGGGAGAATTAGTGTAGTGACCGAAGATGGAAATTTGGACACAGAAGTAATATAGTAGTAGGAGTAAAAGAAAACGAGCTTATCAATGATTTACTTTAGTGTGAATTTGTTGTCACATAAATGACCTTGATGATATCTACAAACATTGACAAACTTCCCAAGAACTTACCGGGTAGTTTCTACACACTGTAACTATACGATTTCCCGTCAAGCAGTATCTAAATCGATGTATTGGTCAGTCATCATCAGTAAAAAACTTTGGACAACATTTGAAACACCCTAAAGTGTATGATATTATGCTTCTTTGCTGTACAAATTAATAGCAATTTCATGCTCATCTTTTTCTCGTTTTTTTTTGAGGGAAAACTAAATACAACAAAGTTATCAAGCTTGTCATCCATTCGGTAACTAAATGCTTTGGCAAGCAAAAAAACACCATAATTTTCATTTATATCTAAGCAAATTGTTAAATTGCTATCATTCAGATGCTTAGTGAAGGCCATTATCAATTCTATGGGTTAAAATTTTTCAATTAAAAATTTTTTTCTTTCAGCTGCATTTTCATCACTGCTACAAAATGCTCATATTTAAAAATACGGAACAACATCTCATAAAATGCACGAATATTCACCATACACCAATCTACCAACCAAAAAATTATCTTGAATCGTAGAAAATTTTTTTTCAATTTCATTTATATTTTCTAATGGTTTATTAAACTCTCTGAATTACTTAAAAGTAACTGCTGAAAATAACTTTACAAAATGCAAATGTAACTTGTTCTCGTATGCCCTGATGTGATCTGTTTCTTCTTTCTTCACTCTCGCATGCCACACATGTATCATTGGGTTCTTCTTCATCAAGCAATTCCTCTTCTCTTTTCCTTCCTTTTTCTTAACAGTAACTAGTTCTCAACTTCTTCAAAAAATGTACATATCGCCACAATCTGTCAACATTCCACACCTTCTCCTTCTCTTCTCATCAATCTTTAGGTTATTGCAATTCAGAAACATGTATATAGAAATAAATATTATATATATATATTGCTTTTAACCAATTTTCGATTTATTAACATTGCTGCTTCGAGATGGCACAACTCAAGAAGATTTACTGTAAATCGCTCTTGAATTAGTTGACTGAAATTGACAGGTAGAAATCTTTTTCACAGTCGCCGTCTGCATTCCTCTATTTTTTATAATGTGTGGGTTTGCGCAAATGTAATCCATCAATTTTTTTCTTTCGATTTCTGTTACATCTTCATGAAATGAGAAGGTCTTGCAGTTTTTTTAAAATTCAATGGAATCGATTATGGAATGAATTGAAGTGAATTTTCTATAGTTTTTAAACAATTTTTGCCAGAGCAATTTAGCTCATTTTCCCAACACAATATTTGAGAAGATTAAAAATGTTCTTATTCTTCATTGTACGAGTTGGCCTTCTTTGTTGAAGCGATAACAGTAAAGAAAGAGAATCCATTGGATTGATTGAATAGTTGCAAGAGGACGAATAGATGTGATGACTGCTTTAAATGGTGAAGTTGAATTTCTCCCTGTTACAATTTCAGTTTAAACTATCCTTGGAGCTATTACTGCAGTAGTCACAGTTACCGATACAATAATGTCATTTTCTTTAGGAGAGAGAACTGTCAGTATTTTCTCGATCATCAAAATTAAACCGAATGTGTTGTAAATTCATGGTAATGACCTAATCAGTAACGGAGTCATTTAGTAGTACGTATCAGTAAACAAATTGAGTGAGTGACCCCGAACATGTCTCGTTTCAACTGTCATCTATTACTGTCTAAATCACTACCGCTACTTTTATTAGTATTACTGCAGTTCCTGCCTATCACTAATATTGCTTTGAATAAAACGATTATATGAAACGAAGTTTTATTATATCATTCGACAGAGAAATCAAAATTTTCGCTAATCACTTCTTTAATGTATGGATTAACAAAGTTGAAATAATAAAGGACTAAATAGAATTAAAAAAGAAATAAAACTAAAAGGAACAGATGGAACAAAACATAAATAGAATTGAAATTTAAAACTAAATCCTGACTAATTTTTCTTATACAAATGGTTTTCAAAAAGCAGAGTCATATAATTAAAATGAGGAACAGTGGAGAATTAATAAAACCGGCTCTTCGTTTGCATGCGAACTTCAAAATTGTATAGTCTAAGTATCATTTAGGTAAAAAATTTTGCAGTAAACTTGCAAACTCAAAAACTATTGCAAAATAAGAGATAGTCATCCATCACTTACTATGAATGAAGTATGTCTTGTCTTGAACTCTTTCATCCCACTCGTTTATTCCAGTGAGATAGTAAGAAATTAAAAAATTAGTGAATGATTGAATGTTTCAGTCTTTTTTCATGTGTCCTCGCCGATACTGTCATAAAATGGAAAATGACAAGAAACCAATAATAGTACTGCTTAATATACCTTATATTCAATCTTTTCGACTTCTATTGCTTTAAGATCCGTTGATGTTAATAGCACTTCTATCTTGATATTACAACAGACAAACTACAGTATCCTACAGTATGTTCTTTCTGGATGTGATACAGGTAAATCCGTTGTTATTAGCAAAAGATGATGAGGTACATCGAGATGAATGGTCATGATTCTATCAATAATAGACTAGAGAGAAATCAGTCGAAGGGCATTCATTTCCTCTCGTTTAATGCCATAATTGGCCCTGAATGACCGATCGATTGATAGAGCGATTGGGGAAAAGATAAGGAGAGTTCTCAACTTATATTTCACCTTGTTGAGATATCCATCAAACGAAATAGATGGAATCTCTATTCATCCTTTAGTATCATCATTCCACCGTGCATTGATCATCTATTACTTCATATATCCCTTTTTTCTTTCAGTTAACAAAATTTTCCGCATTTCAGTCATTTATTGTTTTCCCCACGTTTTTCTTCTTTCCGAATGGGAAAGTTATAACCAATTTTTAGAATATAAAGCCAACTAATTTAGTAAGCATCCATTTTATCATAAACGCATAAAAGTGTAAGATTCCACTTCAAAACGCGAACATTTCTGAAGGACTAATCATTTCACTGCTTCACTTTACTAACAAATAATTCCCAACTCTTTCATTTTGAAGAGAATTTATAGAACATGAATTAGAATCTTCAGTAGAATTTTCAATATTCGACCACCCATCCAGTCTTATTGCAGTGCCAATTTAAAAGACACCAGTTTAACACTAAATCACCCCTTGACTGACGTGGTGGAACAGTTTATTTCGCATGTGTCACAACTTCGAAACTCCAACAAATTAAACCGAAAAGCCAAGGTTCACTTTCACCCGTCAACTTTTTTATCCTTTTTCAGCAAAAAAAATTTTTTTAATTCAGAAATTCGTTGTATCCGGCGATGATATGTGCTGAACTACCATAACCTACTATTTTTAATATCATCAACGTGCAACGACCCTGCACAATTTACATGGCCATTCAAATCCTGACATATCCTATTTGGAAATATATAATGAACTCACATTTAACATCTAAAGAACATCAAAAATTTTTATTTCCCAAATAAACTTCGTTAGCAAAAAAAGAACAAGAAAGGAAACAAACGGAGGAGAATTTACACAGAACAAAATGCAGAGGCCCTTCAACTCGACTACTTGAAGTAACAAATAGTTGATGGTAGATGAACAATTTCTTTTTTGAGGCAGAAATGTACCAATATCGTAATTCGCCAGCAAATGTACCAATATCGTAATTCGCCAGCAAATCGACAATTCAAGGAAATTTCACCGGGAAAAAAAGATAAAAACAACTTGTCAGAAATGATTCCGAAAAATGAAGACGCATCGATACCGAATAACTATAGCATACAGTTATGTCTCCATAAGAAATAAAAATTTAACCTTCTGCTATTAACTCCTGAAACTTGACAACTACTTCATTTTAATCCCTCATGTACTGTAATATTACAAATACCGGTTACCAGAATATAATTCAAAAATGTTAAGCTTTATTTGACTATATAATTGTGGCGTTTTACTTACAGTACAGAGAAACAAGGAAATGAACATTCTCGGCACTGATGCTTCTTATTTGCTCAGATACAATTCAGAAAACGTCACTGGCTTTTCCTTCTTTTCATTCAGAATTATTGGATTACATAGTGGAAAAGTATCAGGAAAAATACCGGGACAACTTACAAGCATTCCAGAACCTGTATGAACAATTTAAACGACAAATGTCCTGAAGTAACAATTTTAACGTTCTTTTGCAGAACTGCAAGAAATGTGTGGCTGATCGACTAACAAAAGCCATATAACCGACAAAGAAGCATGTTAACTAATTGTCATAGTGAGATATGTCTAAACAGTGTTAAACTGTGATGTCAAGATTGATTTCGTGATGGAAAAAATAAAATGCAGAACTGAATGTCCCTAAAACCTTACTTATACAAAAATCAATTAATATCGCTATTCAGCAACATTATATTGCTACTAACAGGAGAGTGAAATAAAGTATATTGGTGTGTATATATATTTAAAATAGCGATGAAACAGGTGTCTAAAATTCTGGAGAGATGCACAAGCATAAGAACAATTCGTTCACATTCTCTTGTCGTCCTGTCAATTCTAAACATTACAATTATAGCTATATAAAACTACGGCATTTTTGAACATAATGATGCACTGCACAATTTACGAACAAAAAGTGATCGGGAAATTCGAAATGCGCGAGGCTCAATTTAGCAGAAAAATTGTCCAGTGAAAGTTTTTCCATTTTTCCAGCAGCGGAAAGAAGAAAAGCGCACAAAAAAATGTTACCAATATCTTATAGATTTCGAAAATTTTACAAGAAATTAACGCTACTACAAAACAACAGTAAACACCAGAATTTTGCAAATCTTAAATGATTCTGTTTTTAAGCAGTGAAAAATTCGTCTAATTGCGACATCCTTTTAGAACAAGTATGGGATGAGGGCTTCTTTCCATTCACTTTATTCATTTGATGGATCTTTTCCCTTTTCAATTCTACTACAATAATTCCAAATCCCACCTACCAATTTGATTACATAATGCCAAATCAGAATAAAATGTCAATCGAGAATTGCATTTGAACACGATCATAATCAATCCAAAATCAGCATCAGACTTTTAGCTATAAAGATGAAAGCTTTGTTTGCTTTCTTGGAATGATCTCAATTCAATCGAACAAACAGACTAGATAATAACCCGTGGAACAATTTACATAAATCTGAATGACAGTAAATGCAAATGAATTTAGTCATCTCGACATTTATGGATTGCATCCGCCCTAAATTATACATAGGTAATAAACGACGATAGATGATATGATCCGATGTCACTGTATATCAAATATATAGCGCATCTTGTAGAAAATTAAACGAAGCAACAAAGATATGGAAGCGCTTAAATGTTCCCTTAACTGGTATTGCAAACTTTTAAAGTGAAGAGCTGATAGATGAATTCGTTGCAGGATTTTGAGGTGAAGAGTTGAAACAAAGTGCAATTTTTAGAGGTAATTGGAACAATAATTGGACAGCCAAAGGTGCCGAAATAATGAGAAGAAAATTACTAGAATCACTAAAATCAAAGGCTTAGAATTTAACCTAAAAGAAATCATGAATTAACAGAATCTCATAAATTAATATTCTGAATCTTGAGATTTCATGAAAACTCAGAGGCGAATCACAAGTTAGATAACGCCAGCATTATTAAACTAATTAGAACTAAAATTTACCTGCAAAAAAAAATCCTAGTGTGTTACACTCATTTCAATGCTACTTCAAATTCTTCGTTTCATAAAAGATTTTTCAAATGGTATGCAAACTCATGCACTAAACCTCTTCAAAGAATAAGATCATTCCTATCGAAAAGACAAGAAGGGAAAATGCAACAGTTAACAGCAAGGCCGTCAGCATGATCAGAAAGTGAAATAAGTATGTAAACTTAACAAAAAAAAAATTTTTTTTGCAACATAAACAAAACAGTGAACTACTTAAATTTAACATTTTAGAAATGAAGAAATAGTTCATGTCAGCGATAACTTAGTGACATCTTTTGATCGCCAATCACGATAATCACAAACAACATGATCAAAGAGAATGAAATTTCGAAAATTTTGGTATTAAAATTTTTTAACAAAATACAACTTTAGAAACAAACAAACAAAAAAACGAACAAGGAAAGCGAACTATTTGATTAGCAAAGGTAGAACTCGCAAATACTTCCGAATTTCTTCACAAATAACAGAAAAACCTATTTATCATGAACCATTCTAATTATGTGATTTGAAATAAAGAGTATAAAAATAACAATAAAATCGAGAGGAAGGTAACAAGCGGAAGATGAACGAGAAAAAGATAAGAAAGTGGCCATACATGAACAACAGCAGAATCTCAACTGAGGACTCACCAGTTGTTAACGTGATAGTAACAAATTTATTTAACCACTTAACTCCGGCAAAAAGAATAAATTCCTATTTATATCCTAGACAGATCTACTCAATTGGAAGACAGAAAATAAGGCTTTGATGCTCCTTACTAGAATTAAATAAATAAGATCAAAAGATTGCTCTCCCACCTTGCCCGTATTACCTATTTCCTAAATGACGGGTAATTTAAAACAAAGAAGAGAACCGAATGTCCATATCAGCTCTACCTCAAATTCAACGATTGTCGATCCCTACTCATAGAAGAACAGCTAGAAATTTCGAATCGTCAGTAGTACCACATACATACAATACTAAGTTATATATAAAGGGCACGGAAATCGCAAAGAATATAAACAAAGGAAAAAAAAATATCATTTTCTGTTTTGTGATCAATTATGCGAGGTAGGGTAGACTGTAATACATTGAGTATATGAATTGAGGAGGGACGAGAGAAAATCTTACACGAACGATCCAAAAATGAGGTAAACACATACACATACATACAAACATACACACATACACATACACATACGTACGCAAACACACATACAAAATCCAATAGATTCATACATAGCTGTTTAATTAGAGCAGAGATTGAGGGAACTCTCAAAAACCAACGTAAAAAAATTTAAAATGCACTTATGCTAAAAACACCTCTTTAACTTCTGAATCTTCCCTTCACGCTGATTGTTATATTTCTCTCAAACGTCCTTTGCTCCCAACAGCACATACTGCGATCAGTTTGACAAATCAGTGGAATTCAAGAGGGCAACTTCCATATTTAAAAATGTGGTCGCATGTCAAACGATTCAAGGATGCAACCAGTTTTACATAGACCACTGAAAGGGGAATGTATTCATATTTTTGGATGCTGTTTTTCAAAGCACATGAGAGAGGCTTTTCTAACGCAAGTACACTATACAGTTCGAAAACAACCGAAAAACTGCAACCGGAGTAGTTTTAAGACTAAATAATGTAAATTCGAAAAAATTTAATTTTAAAGAAAACATTTCTGTATAGATATATATAAGAAGGTTTTCTTTTAAAAAAAATATTGTTTAAAACACACTCGGTCCATCAAATAAACATTCAATTTGCATCAGCGTAGTCTTGAATGAAAAAAGGATTCCGGACGGTTCAGAGGAATAATTCATCACCTATTAATTAATTAATTCTGTGCTTCAATCTAAATAATCGTTTCAATACAAGTTAAGCAGAATCATCTGAACGAACCACATATCCAATTGCAATTTTTCTGAGTAGGAACAATCGGAGTAATAATTTGAATAAAGGAATATTTAAAAAAAAAAAGCGACGGTTAGATTTAGATTTAGAACAAATCACAAGATATCAATCTGACAACTTATTTCAACATGGAAAGAAAAACCGGAGGTAGAAGTGAAAATTTAGAAAAACAAACAAAAAACAAAGAAGAAAAATGAAGACATGCACACTCGTGTACAAAAAAATACGCGTATTTATAGCGACCGTATCCATTGATTTTCTTTAATAAGTAAAAAGGAAAACTTTTAGATGATCAAAAATTGAGACGAAGGAGAATTCTGCAGCCAAAAATAAAGATATGGAGTGATTATGCAATTAAACGGGATGAATCTGATAAATTTTAGAAGGTATGACGAATTCTCAAGTTCTTCAAAGTCGGAAAAATTTCGAGCCAACAATCAAAAACAGATTTAATTTAGAAGTGATTGGAATACCAATTTAGTAAACCCGAATACAGCTGCTACCAAAATCTACAACATAGATCAAACCATCAGGTGAAACGCATAAGTCGGTAGGACGATCAAGTGCTGAATGTTGTGGTGCATTTGTAGATGTGGGCAGTTGGGGTGATGATCTTTTTAAAGTATTATTTGTTGTTACCGGAATATTGGCTAGTGGTGTTATAACATTTTCTCCGCCTGCTCCACTACCAGTGTTACCAACTCCAACTGCCGGTGGAAGTCCTGGCACTGCACCACCAAATGATGCAATGCACTGCATTCCATCCAAGCTTAATACCTAAAAACCAAAAGAACAATTTGAAAAACCCTACAAATTCGTTTACCTAAAGCAGACTGAGAATATCTAACCTGAATTCGATTATTACGTGAATCGCAGACGAGAATATGTCCTTCATTATCGATTGTTATTCCCTGGGGACGACAAAACGAACCTTCACTATCACCTTCGCTGCCATACATTTTCATATCAACTGTACCACGCGATGATATCACCACCAGGCGATGATTATTGAAGTCACTAAAATTCACAAATAAAAAATCAAAATTAAAAATTCTACGCAGTTAAAAAAGAATATAATGCCTCTACTCTTCCATTCACTATTAGGAATGGCTATAGCTCAACAAACATAACAGTAATTATAAATGCTCCAAAGAAATCTAAAAAATTTGACCACTTCCCAAAATATTTTTACATCGCTATTTCAGCATCAATGATGGACTTCGTAGATATCGCTAATTAAACGTACGTAATAACCAATTGGCCGTCATGTAAATAGCAAACACCACGAGGTGAATCCAGATTCTTGTAGTTATACAATGAATTGTCAAAGCCAAATTTACGAATAAAATGTCCTTGCGGCGAAAACATCTGCAATGTTAAGAAAATAGATTAATTGATAGTCATGGAACATAAATATCGATAAAAATTTTAGAAACTGACTTGTACACGATGATTTCTAGTGTCCGAAACTGCAATCTGATTAAATGAATTTACTGCGACTCCCCATGGGTAATTGAAAAGACCAGGAGTTCGGCCACGTTCACCAAATTTTAGCAAAAAATCTCCACGTTCACTGAACACTTGTACTCGATGATTATCCTTGTCAGCCACGACTATTTCGTTCTGAAATTCATTTAAGCAGTTAAAAATAAGTTGAAAAAATATATGTCAGTTGTCCAGAAATCTATAAAGATTTATCGGAAAATCAAATTTTCTTCTTCAATAAAACGATTAACGTAATATTAATTGCACAATTAAGAAGTGACATTACCAGCAGTAAAAACACATGACAACCGCCATCAAAATGCCCCTGTTCAGTATACCACTTGTTATAATTACAGTAACAAAAAAATCATAAAGATGCATCAAACAAGACTTCCGAAAACCAACCATGGAGTTAACCGCAATGCCTGCCGGACGATCAAACTGTCCTGGACGAGTTCCTGGCGAACCAAACTTGTGCAAGAAGTTACCCTCTTGATCGAAAATCTGGAATTTCACATATATTCGCATATAAGTAGAAATGAATTCTGAAAGATAATTCAATAGTTCAATTAATTTGAAATTTCATTACTTGTACACGATTGTTGCTTCTGTCTGCTACAACAATGCGGCCTTTATTATCGCAGCAAATTCCCCATGGTCGACAAAATTGTCCATCAGCGTTACCTTCTGAACCAAAAGAGAATAATGGCCCTGCCCGAGCAATTGTTTCATAATTTCGACCTTTTCGTGCATAGATTACCGTAGGACATCCACTGGAATAAAAGATGGTTCTAGTAATCATAGAAAGAATACTCATTTAAACAACATCGGAAATTCCCTTGCATTTATCAGGAAAAATGAGAAATTCCCTTGCATTTATCAAGAAAAAAATGAAAAATATTTATGCTCAAAAAATGAATGCCTCATGGAGACATGATTGACTGAACGGAAAATCTTAACGTACCAAATGGAAACACCTCGAATCTTGATATCCAAAAAATGATTGCCTTCATCGGTTGGAAAATAAGTCAACGAGTAAATCCCTGCATCCTGTTCACTGTAATATGGTTTGACGAGAACATGAGAAGCAGATGCACATCGAATATTTAATGTTGACTTCATTTCGAAGTTCTCCCTTCTATGACCTAAAACCAATTTTCCGACAAACATTGATTTAAACGAATTAACAACTTACGCAATGCGTATATCCAGAGTACGACCCTCCGGACTAAGCAACGAAGCAGACACCTGGTGGCTTGTTGATGTACAAGCATCGCCGCAAGAGTCACGAGTTTGCACTAAAATGGTACATAACCGATCACGAATGGCACGCTTGTATCCTTCACCGATAATGTGTGTTGTTCGTGCACAAGCACCACTCTCCAGCTCTCCCAGAGAACGCAATCTGGAGATTATTTAAAGTAACTGAATTAGCACGTGTCGAAATTTTAGCTTATAAAAGATGTCATAGAAGTTCGAGCTGAGGAAGTTGTCGACAAATAAAAACTTCCGGATGACAGATGTTTTTCTTAATACTCCATCAAATCTAAATTTGAGAAAAATACAGATATGCAAATCGAACTTTGAAATAAAAGTACTGTCGGGTGGTATGAATTTGATCAAATCAGTTTCATTTGGTACCAAATATAAACATGGCTCCCGCAAAATACTAAGCAATGCATCAAATGAATTGCGTTGTTGGATTTCCATCCCTTCACCGACTGCCGTTACAATTTCTGCCGCCTAAAAATATTTAAGGAAAAACAACACAATTTAATCCTGCACAATGACTTCTCGATGTGCTTTTTGTCACTAAGATAAGCGTAAATTCTACTACGGAATATCAAATAGATTAATACACTTCCTCATCAACCACCTAAAAGTAAGATTCAAAACAAAATTATCATAAATGACATGTGAGAGATCGCTCACCCAACATAACAGACATAGCCACATGATAACATTTATGTTAATCTCATACTAGGATCAGGAAAAAAACAATACTGAGAATCTTACAAATCCTACTTTTAAAGCTTCAGATAAAATTGTATGACGCTGTCTGAGTTGTTCCCCCTGAGCTTTCAATGTGCTGATCTTCGTCTGGCGAATGGTATCAACGCGCTGCAATAAATCGCGCTTCCGTTCTTCTAGTGCACTGATATGCAAATGTATCGCTGATCGCAATTCACGAATTGCTGACTGAAGAATTTTTTCTTTCCAGAAGATTTTAAATTATAGTTACTTCGAAATATCTCTAATTTTGATTTATATTATATTAATGTTGCATCATGTTAACCTTAAGAATTTATTTACATAAAACAAGTCTTATGTATGCTTACGTTAAAAGATCGCATTTTGATTGTAATTAATCTATCTGTTTAAGTTTATTGGATTTAAACCATATATTGAATAATCTTGACCTGTACAGAAGCATCTACTCTTTCTAACATTCGACGTACAGTTTCCAAAGCATCTTCTAGATTTTTTTGGTCATGCTTTGAGCTTGCAATCAACGTCAGCAGCGATGTTCTCAGTTCACCATATGGTACAAGCTGATGTTTTGAGTGGTCCGCAATGCATACATTGCAAAGTAGTACAGTTCCACAAGTTACACAAGTACAGATTACCGGTGAATCATGAGTGTTGCATGTTTCTGTTTCAAGTAAACTTTCAAATTTAACTGGTTCTCTTGTAGTACTCAGCTATAATTGAGTAATTTTACCAAAATGAACTGAAATATGAATTAACAATAAATTTAGTCAATAACGCTGTTTTTCCGAAAATAATACTTTATAACATTAAGAAGAAATCTAAAACAATGCTCAAATGTGATTTTCAATTCGTGATGTATCTATAACAATAAGCATTTAAATGACAATTTTAAATATTACTTGAGGTAGCGTCAAGCCTTTGAAAGCCTCAATACGCACCACTTTGTGTTCACGAGTAACTCGCATGCGATAATGTGCAATAACGCACTCACTACACAATGTTTCGTCACACTGCATGCAGCGCACAGTTGCTATTGCATTGTCCTGAAACAAGCATGTTGACAAAAAAAATCATTTTCATGAGATAAACTGTCTCAAATCATATTTCGAGAAGTATTATGCGTCTTTGTGTAATATTATATTATTGTCATAGATGAATATATTGTCATTACAGATGAGTTGGTAAAGCCAATAAATATTTCAAAAATACTCATAATGCGCATACATATAAACGGATATAGCTTCTAGAATAGCATCCTAAAATTCATAAAATTGCTCCCCTCGGCGCACATAGTGCATCTGGGATACTTAACATTGAACGTTTGCTGGATTTCAGCAGTTGGAACGGTATGCCAATTTATTGTTGAGGTAGTAGTAAGTGGTTGGGGAGGTAGTGAAAATAATCCTGCAACAGTTGCAATACCACTTTGGAAGGTCAGTACAGATTGATCAAGCAGCGGATGTGTTGCAGAAGTGTCTGACAATTGTTGTGAAGAATGGAACAATTTAGTCCGTTGATGAACAGATGTCTGCACCTAAAAATCCTATATGTAATTCTTCCCCGTATAATTACCACTTTTTAAAAACATATCAAGCTAAATTTCAACACAAAGAATTTCTAGAATTCAAATACACCTCAATAAAGCAAATTAAATTATAATTTTACCAAATTCCAGGCAATATGTATTAAGTTCTTCAGCAATACAAAAAGTCAGCTAATGGCTGAAAGTGCTTCGGCATTAATTTTTCTGATGATAATTTAACTAAGAACGACTACATCAAAGCACTTTTCAACCATTGGTAGCACTTCTTCATCAATCATTCATTACTGATGTAATTGAAAAGCTTTGGCAAATCTTTTAAATTGCTTTAATTATCTCAGCCAATATCATTGACAAACCTCTGAGCCTTGCAATTCATGTTTAACAAGCGATTTCGGTGAAAGAGGATCCCATATTGAAAAGGAAGAATCGAGCGAAAGATTTGTGGCGGCAACATCTCCAGAATGTGAATTTTCTGGAAAAAGGGGACTTGGACTGGCAGTGATGCTAACCAATGAAGATGGAAACCCTTCAACTGTTGCATTATTCAAGCACAGTGGACATAGCTGAGTTTGACTGATAATGGAAGCACACTGACTACAGAATCTGAAAATTTCATGCAGGCATTCAGAAATTACTTTTGGAGAATTCAGAAAAAACCAGATAATTCAGCATTACAAATTCGCGGCAGGGTAAGTAAGATGCAGCGAATTCGACATTTTAGGACATTGGTCCGCCTCACAAAACTCAACCCAACTGATTAATAACAAGAGGTTTAAACTAAACAAAAAAGCAAAATGTTTAGATAAAACATTTGTATGCATCAGTATTTTCCGAAGAAACTGCAATTTACATATTCTTAATCCTTGTGAAATAACTAGCTTGGAGAATAAGCTGGCTCAAGAATATGGTCACATCGAATTGCTACAAACTAAATTAGAATAGAGAAACTTGTAGGGTTCATAAGATGAAATAAAAGATTCCCGCTTAACATTTTTTATAAAGATCATGTATTCAAATAAATTATATTTTTGAAAGAATTTTTCCCACCCATGTTTACATGGCAGCACAATGAAAGCAGAATATGGTTGAATTTTATTGCAGACATGACAGTGAGTGCTTTCCTTCGGATCATCCATTACTGCTCTGGATGTTGAAAGAAACTGAAATAAGAAAGACTGAACATGATTTAAAATTAAATTTGCTTCCTAAAAATTTTAATGGAATTTTCTGTAAGATGTTAAGTGGTACAGACGACTCGTAATCTTTTTTCAAAATCTCGAAAAAATACAGAAAGCATATTCACATTGATCTTTAATAATATATGAATTGGAAAATCAGATGGAAATCACAATTATATATTAAGAATTATATGTCTAGTCATTAAGGCCTAACCATCCTTGAAATTATAACAACGATGGGGAAAAAGTAACCTGAAGCGATAGTGACGATGACACTGTGGTAGGAGTGGAAGCTGTGCTGAGATCGCATGCCGTTAAAGGTATTGAAATTTGGCGGCTGCCTTCCTGATTACCATCTTCACCACGTTTATTCATAGTAACATCGTTCAATTCTCAAATATGATTCTACTCGTCACCGCTTCCACCCTGTAAACAATAAGATTTCACAAGAAATCGTGTTGAAAGATAATGAAACATCTGACATGATGTAAATGCTGCGCAGATCTACTGAGTAATAAGAAACACTTTGCATTGTGCACTTCAAATACAATTCTAAATTTAATAATTTTCAAATCCAAAAAAAAAACATCCTTTCAAAGTTGTCAGACCTGCATTATTTGGAAATTATAACTTGATTTTTTTGAGTGAAATTAAGCAAACTGTTGACTAACATATCTCAATTTATTTCACTTAAACGATAACTGAGAAAAATATGCTTTCATCTTCAATTACTAACGAATACTACGAAATGGCCGTACCTGTTAGTTGACAGCAAGATAATGAAGACTACGGTCATTAATCAATTGTTAATACAACCATCTCCTGGATTACTATCACTAACTACAGTACTTTGGGCTTATCTCACTACATGCTATAACTCCACTAATTCCTTCTTAAAAACAAATAGGTCATGAACAATAAAGAACATTTCGTTAAGATCTGTCAACGAATTCGATATATCACATATGAACGATTTAAGTTAAAAGACTCGTAAGATGTATAAAAGACCGTGAAATACTTCCGAATGATGCCGGCGGAGAGGAGTGCCCCGGGAAGAGTAATAGTACGGCAGAGCTAAATGTGCACAGCATCACTTCTCAGACAACTCAGTTCTAGGTAGGCAAGTCTTCTCTCCTCCTTCTCTCTCCTAACATTTGTACTTTTTATGAAGCATTCTTGTCATGCAGTCTATCCATCCCTTGCCCTCCTCCCCTACTCCCTGTCCCTCCCCACTTCCCACAGTGTCACATTGTACTATACAAATGTCATCCACACTCCATCACTATTACATGACTTTCCTGAAACGGCAAACGGCACTGCTGTAGGGTACAAGGAAGATGCACGCAAATATGCAAATGCAAGACATGCAATAATGCTCAGGCAGTCGTAGAGAGGCAAACTCGGTTATATGAAAAGTGCAAGAAACTGTTATATGCAAGAAACTTAACTCTAGCGGAAATACTACTGCTTGCCCTTCATCTCATCCCTCCTCTTCTCTCCCCGCTCACTAGGACTGAGGCTGCTCTGTTCTACTTCTGCCCCTCTGAGGTGTCGATACTTTGAAGAACAAAGAATTCGCTGGTTTGTCAGACGGCTACCACTTCAAATCTCTTTACGAAGGAAATAGCTATACTCGAGAGATATGATGCACTTCAACTCTGACATCTCATACTTTTAGATCTCAAATGATACATTAGACTATTTGACATACTTAAGCTACTTCTTCAAATATTCCGCATACAACCCCAATTTTATTTTCAAAATACGTAAAACATAAGATTAGTACTTATCAATTATGAAGCCAACATATGTTGATGCGTCATAATATATATTAATCTTATGTTTTACATATTTTGGAAAACCTTAGTGTTTATTGTTCTATAAGTAAATCAAGAATTACTTCACAGAAAACTTATTTCCATTGCTCCTTATACTCTACTCCAGCATTAATTCCAACTGTGGTAAGAAATTCTTTTTAGTCATAAAAAAGCTCTCTCATTTCTGCCTCATTGTGTTTCTCTACAACGTAAGAGGGAAAAGGAAGGATGCATAGCTAGTGGTTTTGCTTTTTTTTTTGACTAATCTTCAAATTAACAATTCGGGCGGATGTAAATTGATAAAAAATCTTTATAAATATCATAGCCACAAAAAAAGTTAAACATTAATATTAAAAACAAAACGATAATGAGAAAATTCCATTAATAGCCATCATAACTTCATAAAATTGAATTCGTCAGCAATAAGTGTCACATATGAAATCTCATTTGATATTTTTAATTTAAAAATGTTACTCGAGTAAAAACAGTCAGCTAAAGCTGTATTCCTTAGCATGCGATTCAATTGAAATTCAGCACAAACGTTTAATACTTGCAGTTTCCATACATTCTTTACCTCAACTCACAGAAATAATCAGCAAGATAAAAAACGAGGCTAATAAAACTGCAAAATAAAACAATGATATAAAATAGGAAAGTGACACATAAACAATATCAGAAAAAATTATAGTTCTCCTATCCCTTAATCACAGCAATTGGGCGTAATTTGACGGTTTTCTTGCTAATACCAGCTTCATGACAAGTATTCACAACATCCGTCACATTTTTGTACGATTCTGGTGCCTAAAATTGCCAATTTGGTCCAAATGTTTTTACTTGAATCAGTTACAGTGGAATATAACCAATACAGATACCACTTTTCATTTTACGCAAATTCCTTCTTGAAATCAGCTGATTTTATAATGACTTTGCTAATTATGTAAGCAAACACTTGACTGTGGAGCAGTTAAATGAAACGATTAAACAGCTAAAACATTTAGTCTCAGAATGCTTCATATGGCGTAGTTAGCGATATATCAACGCTGGGAAATATGCGGTGAATAACTGAGCAATTCTGATAATAAAATCAGTTGGCTGTAACCATTCTCGCATTATACCTCACATTAATCCGTATTCCTGTCAAAAAAATATCTTCATTCATTAATTAACCGTAAACTTACTTCTTCCATAACTAGTTTTGGAGAAGCTACACGAACTGATATTCCCTTTGCTTGCATTTGGTTTAAAACATCTTGAAAGTCTATGTTACGCCTCGATTTAGCACGTGACAAAGCCCTACCCTGAAATTTTTATCACTTTGCAAAGATTCAAAATTCTTCAGTAGACAAGGAAGCAAAGCAGGACTTTGACAATTTCGGTTAAAAGAAATATAAAAAATGTGTACATTTTTTGATTACTGCAGTAAATTAAAGACAAAATTAAAAAGATTATTTATCTATATTTACGCCAAAACTGCAAAATTTTACTTTATTCTTATTTTCACTAAAGAAAAAATTACCGCTCCATGACAAGTAGTAGAAAATGTTTCATTCATTCCTTGTTGCGTGCCTGTCAAAACGTAACTACAGGTACCCATTGTACCACCAATTAGCACTGGTTGTCCTTAGGAAAAAAAATTTTGAGTAGTAAGAAAATAATGGCCGCTTCCACAAACATTATTTGCTTAAATTTACTGAAAGGGCTTGAAAATGAACACTGTCTCTTTTGTAAAATCGCGAATATACTTCACTAGTAGAAAAATTTTCTACACATGTAGAAAATCAATGGAGTGCACTCGTGAATATTTAAAGTCTTGCATATTAAAGTAGGCATTCGAATTCCTAATCAATTTATATTTGTTAGGAGTTGCACAAAACTTCCTGAAGATCCGCTGGAAATAATTGACATCAAAGTGAAATTATTCGGTCTTGACCGGAAAAAAGCCTAGAGCCATTTCTTCCCGGCCAAGCTTGGAGAGTTTCTTCACTCGCACTACTGAATGCCAATTATTGTTTCCAACATAAAATTATTAAAGAAAGCTTAAAAAGAAAAACCTGTAAGTTGATAATCTACGGGAATGAGAGGATGATGAGGAGGGAAGGCACGTGTTGAACCCTTCCTATGCACGCACAATTGTTTTGGTCTCCCATCCACAAGATGTTCCTCTATTTTAGCGATATTATGGCTGACATCATATATAACATGCATGTCGAGATCATCTGGTGACAAGCTGAACACTTTTGCAAAGGCCTGCAGTGAAATCTTACAATTTCTTCATTAATTTTTGATTAAAAGCTGTTTAAATATTCTGAAAGACAACCGATTTAAATTAAGATAGAAGAAAATTCTACCTGTCTTGCACAAAAAGTCATGCAAGATCGATTCACCCACGCAAAATTCGCAGCTGCTGCCATGCCCTTCAGATAATCCTGTCCTAAAAGTGGAGAAAAAGGCAGAGACTAAACGACCAACTTCATAACAACTTACAAGATAATGGATAAATGATTAATCCATTAAAAAAATCTTTACCTTCTACAGAGTTAATCCTTGCACAAGCAAGCTGACGATCATTAACAATTATGTTGTCTCGTTTCATAGCTTTTTCCATAACCACTAACGAATCTGTAGCAACTTGGTGCCCCAAACCGCGACTACCACAATGAATCATTACACAAACCTGACCTAAATTGTAACCATTTAAAAATGATCATCGGAGAACTTGTGATTGAATGTACATCATAACAACAACAATAACTAAGTAACAATAATAATAATTTGAGTACCAAATTATTTTATTATTATTATTATCATTGTTATTGTTATTATTATTATTATCATTATCATCATTATCATTATCATTATCATTATCATTATCATTAT